ACGGAGCTCCTCATCTTCATCTGAGCCTGTGACACTAATGATATTTGACAGGATGTAAACAGTTACTAATCCTCCGTACCTCCATATGTGGTCTCTCACAGTTGACTTAAATCAGTTAAGTATCTGACAGACTGCGGTACCTCCATATGTGGTCTCTCACAGTTTGGAAACTGGTTGAAATATACAGTGAAGGACAAAACCATAAGGAAGACACTGGTTAGCTAGGTTAGCTAGTCAAGGTTATCTAGTCAAATACTGGTGGTCAGCCTTAAATCACTGGACTTGGGTGTGGGTGATCTGGTTCATTTGGGTCACTTATTGGCGATAATGCAAAAAAGGAATTGAAGACAGGAAAAAAAACTTTTATTTTCAAAAGAAAAAGTATATTTTCTGAAAAAAAAAAGAAAAATCAGGAAATTCCTGTTCTCTGTGATATCTGTGATTCTTCGATCTCTGTGTACGGTGCAGCGATCTCCTGCCATCAGTCCATGTTGGCAGACGTCAGGTGGCAGGTGTAGCTCGCGGCCATGTGTAACCCAGCACATATTAAGTCATAACTGTGAAGCGCCTCCTCCAGTTGGAACCAGACATGCACGTCGGATGACTGACGATGTCGAGATTCTAGACAAATTGTGTGCCACACATTAGCTCCGAACCCTGCCGGCAGATAGACCGTGTCAAGACAGCAGTTTTTTCTTTGTGGTTGATACTTCTCTCCAAAGGTTTTCTGCTCAGAAACTCACATCTAAAAGTCTCCTGTTCGAGGGCAAGCTTGTCAGTTTTGACATTTAAGAAAGAATTACAATCCCTCCACAGATAGTAAAGGAAGGATCCATTATTGACTCAGCTGCAGTCGACGTTCACCTTGTACGCCTGCATAAATCATCTGCATATAGTAGAGATGAAAGACTTCGTGCTTTTGCTGAAAATTCAACTTCATTCCCTCATGTTTTTCAGTGTTTTTGTTGCCATCGCCATCTCAAATCTCCTAAACTCGCATGACAATGTGCAACTATTTACAGCTAACGGATAAAATATATCATTATCAGTTTTATAACAGTGGGGTGTATATTGCCAAGAATCCTGTGATACAAAACGTATCATGATACAAGGGGCAACGATATATTGAGATATACTGCAATACTTTAGACGAACCCATTTATTGAGGTGTTTTTTTTAAAGCAATTTAATTGTAGAACATTTATTGAGGTGTTTTTTTTTAAAGCAATTTAATTGTAGAAAAACTGTCAAATATTTTGATTTACACTCACTGCAGAACAGAGTTTTAATTTCACCGACGCACCTCAAGCTTAAAATATCAGCTCACTGTGCAGGACAAGTTTGTGGGTTAGGTTTCAACCTCAGGTGAGACACCTGTCTACCACCTGTCCAATCAGTAAGCTTGTCCTCCACTGACAGGCCTACTGACACTGTTGTCAAATGCATCACCAGGGACTGTAGACTGATTGTTAAGGTTGACGGCAGCTCAGGACACATTCACCAGGCCTCAGCAGTGTTCACACTAACATCCACCAGGCTGAGTTACACTTTTACATATTTTTCTCGACAATTTACCTTATTTATTATTCAGAAAGACTTCTACATGTGAGGCACTATATTTACCCTGTTAATATTTATATTCCCGAGGTCTGTGATGGTTAAAGAAGAATATTCATTTCATTTCTTATTGATCGAAGTTAAAATTGAAGGAGATGAAGCCTTTCTCAACACGCGTGAAGAAAAACTGTTTTTTCCCAAGACGGTGAATGACATGTGAGCGGCGCTGACAGGAAAATAACTCTGGTGTTGGTGTTGAACCCACAGGCTGTTTGTGTTTCCTGCTCTCACACCATTACAGGTGCGAGACAGAGTGGTTTGCTGTGATGTCCGCCTCTGGAGAGATGGTGGGAGTGAAACTGGCGACAGGTTCACGTCTAAACTGAGACAATATGTCGGCGGAAACAGCGGTCCTCATCTCAGGAAGGGTTTCAGAGCTGTGAAGGATTAGGGAAGGACTGTTGGGTTTCTTTGTTTTCTAATTGTATATTACACTCCCACTGCGCACTGACAATGTGCAAAACTTTTAGGTAGGTTTAAATAGAATTTTACCAGGGATCAAAGCAGGGATTTTGTTGTTGTAAGGCAGGTGTAATAACCGCTTTTACGCCATGTAGTGACCACTGAATACCTGTTTGATACCACAAGAATGTTGTGTCGATGTCAAGTTTGGGAGATGCTTATGTTGCTTTGTACTTGTGAGGGTATTTTGAGGTAGCCTGAGAGAAAAAAAATCTCGAACAAAGACTAGTACTGATCCCCAACCCCAAGCTTGTACTGTGGACCGTTCGTGTCACCCCGTTTGTTTAAAGGATCCTTACAGGGTTGTTAAGGATTGGTACTATATTATTTTCAAAATAAAATATCTTTAAGACTTGATTAACCAGATTAACTGGATTCTCTGCAGCCATGTACCATTTCACCCACGAACCGGTACCGGTCCACTGACCAGAGGTTGGGGACCCCTGCTTTAACATAGCTAGAACGAGTATTCTGTAACATCAGATGTACAGTATATGTTGAAGACATGTGTAGCATATTAAAAAGTCCCAGACGTCAGGAAGTCTCCAAGCATGAAGAGCAGAGGATTTGCAGGAGCCGTTTATTTTGCATCAGTTTTTTTTTTTTGTCTAGATGTGTCTCCTCTCTTTCCCAAAAGTTTCTGCTACTTACTTTATCTTACGAACAAGTGAGAATGAGTCACAATTTAACTGTGGGACATTTAATAAGACGTAAGACTCAATAAAGGTCCAATAGAAACGACGTACGGCGGTCGGCCCTGACAGTGAAGCTGAATTATTCAGAGCATGACTTTTCAGATGCATACCATCATCAGCAGTCGTATTAAATTTAAGGCAGTTATTAGAGGATGTGCCAGAGCATTCAGAGAGC